GAGGCAGCCCGGAGTCTCCTCCCCTCTGCTCCCACCAGCATCTGACAAGCAGCCACTTGTCTTGGGATATGGCAGAGAGCAAGGAGGAGAGGCTGGCACCTGGAGATGCCCTCCAGGCCCCTTGGCGCCCAGGTCAGAGAAGGTTTGGCGGGAATGCTCCGGAGGAGTGCCAAGCCCCACCTTCCCCTCTCCCGAGGCTGGCAGGCTGCTGTGTAAGACTAAGGGAGGGCTCCCGGTGTGGGGCAGTCATGGGACCACGAGGAGGCCACCTGAAGGGTGCAAGGCCTACACCTCCAGGCTCCACTGATTCAGAGCTGAGGCTCAGAGGTGTGGGTGCCAAGGCGGGGGCAAACTTCCTCAAAGCCAAGAGGAGGAGCAGGCCACAGATTGCGGCTGGGGAGGAGAGAGGTGTGGGATGGGGCCTGAGGGGACAAAGAGGCCACCAGAGCAAGGAGAGCAGTGTGGCCTGAGTAGAGGATAGACTGCTTAGGGGGGGTGAGTGTGGCCAGCATGCAGGGACTAGAGGACAAGATGGCCTGGTGGGAAGGGGGCTTGCCAGAACGGAGAGGGGAGGAGCGAGGCTGCGGGTGGGGACAGGTGATGTGAGCACAGCCTGTGGCCCAAGAAGAGAAACTCGGTCTACGGAAAGAGGCAGAGGGGAAGGGGGTCCTGTGGCAGGGAAGGTGGCATTTCAGTGGCAGAACCGCTGATAGGAGTGCCCTGGCCAGGAGCCCAAATGCTTGAGTAGCTTCTAAGCCCTGACTCCTAAGGGAGGCTGAGAGCCCGAGAGATGTTTATCCGCCACAAGAACGTGATAAAACACCTCCTCTGGCAGGTGACCAGCAGCCCGGCTGCCCTTTCCAGGGTGACCAAAGTCTCCTGAGAGTTGCAGTATGAATAGGGGGCCTGGAGAGGGGAGACCACACTGGCGACAGCACCTGCCCCCATCCCCCCACCTGCTGGAGCCAGAGGAGCGGTGGGCATGAGCTAGGACTGGGACAGCTCCATCCTGCAGATGAAGGCAGGCTGAGTCATGGGTGAGCGCCAGGCTCTCTCAAGAGGCTGCTCAGAAACCAGCTCATCCAAATGCAGACAGACACTTGTCCCCATAGCTGTCACACGTGGGCATCCACAGGCCTTCACACCCGCTCTCCCTGCCCCCACCTTCTCCCCTCTCCTTGATCACCCTCCTCCAGCACCCCTGGCTCCTTCCTCTGTCCTGCCCTGACTGCCTGTCCCTGCCCACCCTCAGGTGGCCCCTGGCTCCCACCCACCACCCCCACCCTCTGCAACCACATGCAGAGTAGAGAAGGTAGGGAGACGGGAAATCAGGAGACCCACAAATAAAGAGAAAAGTCAGGAAGGGTCTGCAATAGGAACAGACAGAGGAGGGAAACTGTGAACTCACTTCCCCATGAAACCTTCCAAGGACAGAGGAGGGTTCATGAGGCTCTGAGGCCAGGAGAAGACTGGATGACATCTGGGGCGGGGGATATAGAGTTCAAGAATTAGGCCACATCAGCTTCACTTTCTGCTCCTTTGCCAGGACAGAGAGGCAATAGTCTGGGATGCCCAGCTGACACCCTCAGCCCTCACCGTACCCTCAGGGCCCAAAGCTGGAATCAGGCTTCCAACAGGATCATCCCTGGGCCACCAGCCACTGTGAAGACCCAGAAAACATCTATACTCCACCAAGCCTGTCCCCTCACCATGGTTAATCATCGCAGTGAAGACTGGCGCTAGTTTGGGAAGGACAGAGTATGGTTTATAAGCACAGCCATATACCTGACACTGTGAGTACAACCACGAATATGCCAGATCTTTGACCTGAAGGGACATCCAGTCAAGTGGGGCAGGGGAGTCACTTGAGTGCACACACACACACACACAAAAACCAGCTCATCCAAATGCAGACAGACACTTGTCCCCATAGCTGTCACACGTGGGCATCCACAGGCCTTCACACCCGCTCTCCCTGCCCCCACCTTCTCCCCTCTCCTTGATCACCCTCCTCCAGCACCCCTGGCTCCTTCCTCTGTCCTGCCCTGACTGCCTGTCCCTGCCCACCCTCAGGTGGCCCCTGGCTCCCACCCACCACCCCCACCCTCTGCAACCACATGCAGAGTAGAGAAGGTAGGGAGACGGGAAATCAGGAGACCCACAAACAAAGAGAAAAGTCAGGAAGGGTCTGCAATAGGAACAGACAGAGGAGGGAAACTGTGAACTCACTTCCCCATGAAACCTTCCAAGGACAGAGGAGGGTTCATGAGGCTCTGAGGCCAGGAGAAGCCTGGATGACATCTGGGGCGGGGGATATAGAGTTCAAGAATTAGGCCACATCAGCTTCACTTTCTGCTCCTTTGCCAGGACAGAGAGGCAATAGTCTGGGATGCCCAGCTGACACCCTCAGCCCTCACCGTACCCTCAGGGCCCAAAGCTGGAATCAGGCTTCCAACAGGATCATCCCTGGGCCACCAGCCACTGTGAAGACCCAGAAAACATCTATACTCCACCAAGCCTGTCCCCTCACCATGGTTAATCATCGCAGTGAAGACTGGCGCTAGTTTGGGAAGGACAGAGTACGGTTTATAAGCACAGCCATATACCTGACACTGTGAGTACAACCACGAATATGCCAGATCTTTGACCTGAAGGGACATCCAGTCAAGTGGGGCAGGGGAGTCACTTGAGTGCACACACACACACACACATATGCACACGCACACACCTGGCTTTGCTGGCTGCCTCAAAGAAGGGGGATAAGGGAGCATGGATTACCCACACCACACATTCTGAGTTGCCCAAACTCTGTGAGCCCCAGGTGGAGGGACAAAAGATACCAGCATAATTCAAACCCCATACACCAAATGAAACTTAGGAGGCTGCAGCCTTCACAGCCCCCAAACAGGGAGGTAGGCTGGGATTGTGCAAGAAGCCTACAGCAAGGCTGTCTAGTCCCTGGTGACCCCAAGTATCCCTCCTCCTCCTTGGAGAAATTCAATGCCCACACCTACACCAAGCTTGCTAGTTCAGGGGACAGAGGCCTTATCCAGGACAAACAGCTGCCTCCCTACACCGGCCTATTCCCACCCATCTGGGTCAGCTTCCCACTTGCAAGGCTCCAAGACTTACCCAGAGCAGAGAGTGCAGAGGTGAGGGTCCAGCTCCCCCACCATCTTCAGGTCAGTTCTGGCTCTAACCAGACCCTCCCTGAGTCAGAAGGCCCCCTCCCTCCTGACTATGGAGCCCTGGTCAGAGACAACAGTCGGGGCTACAGGCAGGGACACACAGTCAACTGCTGGACTAGCTCGGGGAAAATTCATTCTTTCAGTGCTTTTCCCAGCAAGCCCAGCCCTGCCTCTCTTGGGTGGCTCCTAAAATCTCACCTAAACTACTTGTCCTTTTAAGGGTCAGGTCCTACATCACCCTTCTCCCAGGGTCACAAGACAGCCAGATGAGACCTAACACGCTGCCCCTTCACCTGGTCCACGCTCCAGCGTGCCCTGACCCATGTTGGGTGCTTTCCCCGCGGGGCTCTTTACCTGTCTCAGGTGAGCCAGGCTGTGCCTGCCACCTACCCGCACAGCGCCCTACCTGAAGCAGCAGCCGCCTGCTCTGGGCTCGGACTGAGCCCCGGGGCTCTCGGTACTCCCACGGCGCGGGGGCCGGGGGGCTCCCCGGGGGCTGCGGGCCGCAGGGGGGCGCTGGCTCCAGCGCCTCGCAGCACACCAAGCTCACCGTGCAGCCCATCCGGCCGGGCGCCCGCCCGCCCCTCGCCCTGGCCACCGCTCGGCCCAGGGCGCCGGCGGCGTCGGGAGGGGACCAGAGATGCCCCCAGCCCGTCCCCGCCCGGAGCCTCCTTGGCCCGCAGTGCCAGGAAGCGAGAAGCGCGGGGCCGGGCGAGGGGCGGTGACACGGGCGCCCGGACGCAGCCAGTGAGGAGGGAGACCCGAGGGCGCGGTGGCGCGAGGAGGGGCGCGCGGGGGTCTCAGGACCCTGGGCTGCGGACCCGCCGGGAGAGAGACAGCGCCGGCGGGCGCGACGGAAGAGGCAAGAAGCAGATAAGGGGAGATAATGAGGGAGAGATGGGGACACGGGGGACGGAGAGGGGGGACGCAGCCTCTGCACGCGGGAGACCGAGTCCCAGAGAAGAAGAGACGGGCAGGAAGTCCCCACCGAAGGACAGAGCCAACCTTAGGTACCGCGTGCGCGCTAGGGCTTCCGCGCGGCTCCTGGGGCGGGGGTGGGTAAAGTGGGTTGTCCTCGCAAGGGCCTGCTGCTCTGTACCCTGCCCTCAATACTAGCTCCTGGGGGCCCCACGGGGGGAAAAACCCAGCCTCAAGGAGGCAGAGCCATAGCCAGGGTGGGAGAGTCCCAGCCCACCTGAGCAATCCACCCAGCCCATTCTGGATACAGCCTTTCGCCAGTGCTTTCATTCTCGACCTTTCTGGGGTGATTCCCAAGACTGCGGAGATGGCACTGGTGATCAGCAGTCACGGTGGAGAAGGGAGACACGTGGTGGGACCCTTGTTCTCCTCTCCCCACTTGTATCACACTCCAACCAAGTGTCAGTGAAGACCTGCGGTGCTCCTGGGGGCGGTATCATGGCCCCTTTGTGCCACCTGGTGGCGATAAGGAAGAAAGACAAGCGCAAGTGACCTTGATGAGAAGCGGAAAGAACTCGCAAAGAACTTGCAAAGCAGCAGTTGCCTCTACCTCTGGGTCCCCATCCATGTTCAGCCAATGAGTGAATCTACCCCGGTCTGCCTAAGAGGAACCGTCTCCTGTCTCACTACCTGCCCCGGTGCCTTTGACCCTGCCTTTACCACTTCTGCCCTGTGTACAGTCTTCCGTTCCTCCTGCTCTGAGCAAGATTTCCCCTTCGTCCAGGGTGCTAGACTGGGGTGAGTCACTTCCCAGGCAGCAGTCACTTCCTGGGAGCGGCTATACAGAGCGCTCAGTCACAGATGACAGGCTGAGGCTGCAGTCCCCCAGCTTTCCATGCCCCAAAGAGCCAGGTCTTTCAAGGTGAGTAGCAAGGAGATCCCTGGGTCTCTGGGGTGGCCGGAGAAAGGGAGTGACACCAGGAGCAAGGGCAGAGGAATCCTGAATAGAGATGAGGAAGGGGAGGTAGTCCAGCTAGGTGTTTGTGGATTTCAGAGGTCATCTGGGCTAAAAGGAGCTACAGAGACCCTCCATCCAACCCCTTGGTCTACAGGTGGGGACATCCAGGCCCACGAAAGGTGAAGGACGTGCCCCAGGTCACACAGTGAGCTCGCAACAGGGCCAGGTTGGAGGAGCAGGACTCTTGACTCTCAGCACCATGCTCCCTGAATGCCATCCCCCCAGCCTCCCTCACACTCTCTTCCGTTTCCTTTTCGCTTCCCCTCTTGTGCGTCCCAGTGCTCCTTCACTCCCACTCACCCCCAAATTCCAGCCACCACAGCGTCGGAGGCAGGACACCTGGCTTTCCCACCCTGTGTTTGTCTTTACTTCCAGCTCAGAAAAGAAGCCCACGGGCCCTAGGGGCCACATTATTCCTCTCTGAGCCCCAAGACCCACTGTGTGTGGGGCAAACAGGCTGAGATTCCAGACAGGATTAAAACCCTGCTCCTCACACCCCACACCCCAGCATTCTAGCCTGGGCCTCTCTCTGGGGGCTTGCCTTTCCTCTGCCTCCTGCCTCCTTTTCCTCCAAGAACACACATTTTCCACTCAGCTGGGGCCCAGGAGAGAATGAATGTGTGTCCCAAGGATGATGACTATTAGGGCAAGGCCCCCTGTGGGGAATGGGGCTCGGCCCAGCAACCACATGGCTTGCACACATGAGCCCTAACAGGACTGCTCATGGCCAGGCAGGGTTGAGAGCATGGGCCCTGCGGGCAGGGACCTGAGTTCAAATTCTAGCTTCATCCCTTAGAGTTTGGTGACTTTGGATAGAACACCCTCTCTGAGCCCCGCCTCTCCTCGTATAAAACGGAGTTAATAACCTCCCAGGGTTACTATGGGGACCAAATGAGACAAGGTAACAGGCAAGGGCACAGTACTTGCCTCCCAGGAATGGCTCCCTGGGAAGTGGGGGAACCCCACCATCCTCCTCCCACCCTGCCTCGCAAGAAGGAGCTGGGCTTTTCTCCTACCGGTGGACTCGCCATGTGACCCCAGAGATGTCACATTGTTCTTTAGGCTCTGATTTTTCCTTTGTATGAGGAGAGCGCTGGGCAGCTGCAACCGGAGGCTCTTTCCCAGGCCAGTATTCTAGACCATAGGAATCACGTCCTTCAGATACTCATGGCGGAAGAAGGGGCTGTCCTCAAGATGACCAGGGACCTGAAGGGTGAGTGTGTCCAGAGAGAGCTCTGGGATGGCACTTGGGGAGAGGTGAGGGGTCTCGGGAGCCCCAGTCCTCTCTGAGGTCTGACGTCCCACCGTCCTCCCCACAGCTGCTGTCTCCGCCATCCTCCAGGGCTACGGGGCTGGGCGGCAGCCGGTGACAGACGCCAGTGCTGAGCTACACAGACTCTGCGGCTGCCTGGAGCTTCTGCTGCAGGTAGGTCCTCCCCTCCCGTCTCTCCCATCTCTCCAGGTCCCAATAACCAGTAACCGAATGGTTTCCCAGGCGCTGAAGGAAGAGCCCCTGCCACTCTTTGGGATCACACACTACCTCGTCTCTGTGACTGTACGTGCACACTCAGTTGTGTCCAACTCTTTGCGACCCCAAGGACTGCAGCCCACCAGGCTCCTCTGTCGATGGGATTCTCCGGGCAAGAATACCAGAGTGGGTTACCATTTCCTACTCCAGGGGATCTTCCTGACCCAGGGATCAAACCCAAGTCTCTTGCAGGCAGATGCTTTACTACTGAGCCACTGGGGCCTCCTCTGTCAATCGGCAAATCCTCCAGACATTTCACCTCACTCTTGGAGGAAAGTGAACCAGAGCAAGGCTAGGGTAAGGTTGGGCTGGGCTGGAGGCAGCCTCCCACCCTAAAGACAAAGGTTTCAGAGGCATGGATGTCCCTGGGCTGGCCATCCTCGCTGCTGGTTACAGCCTCAATCATCAGTAACACTAGCTTTTATTGAGCACCTACTATGTGGCCAGCTGAACCTTTTATATGCCCACCTTGTTTAATTTGGGCCTCCCTGGATGGCTCAAATGGTAAATAAAGAATCTGCCTACAGTGCAGGAAACCTAGGTTCTATCCCTGGATCAGAAAGAGCTCCTAGAGAAGGGGATGGCAACCCAGGCCAGTATTCTTGTCTGGAGAATTCCATGGACAGAGGAGCCTGGCGGGCTACAGTCCATAGGGTTGCAAAGAGATGGACACGACTGAGAAACTTTCACTTTCTTTCTTGTTTAATTTTTCTTCACTATGGTGCTTGATGACCAGTCCATCCCCAACCTCCCACACACCTCCCTTTCCTACTTCTCTATGTGAGTGTAGATGCGTGTGGTGTGAGTGTGCGTGTACGTGTAAGGTTTGTTTGTGTGTGGTGTATGTTGTGTGCCTATGTGGTCTCCTGCCAGTCTGCCCCTCAGGTGCTGCACCCCAGTCACACCAGCCTCTTCCTAAAGCACAGCAGGAAAGTACCTGCCTCAGGGCCTCTGCATCTGCCATTCCCTCTGCCTAGAATGCTCCTCACCCAGAAATTTGAATGGCACATTTTCCTTCAGGTCTGGACTTGAATAAAACCTCCTCAGTGAAGCTTTCTTGAGCCACCCTAATCTACATTTTTAACACACACCACACACACACATCACACACTCACACACACCACACACATCTCACATATGTATGCACACACCACACACTTTCCATTCCCTTTCTCTGCTTTATTTTTTCTCCTTACCAGTCAGTGCAATCTAATGCACTATCTGTTTTACTTATTTACTTTGTTCATTGCTATATCCCCATTCATTCTGCGATGAATGAATGAATGAGAACACCAAAGGCTCTGAAAGATCGAGCAGCTTGCTCCTGATCACACAGCCAGCTAGGGCAGACCAGGACCCTAAGCTGGCTCTGTCTGCACGAGCCCCTTCCCTGCCACCACATGCCCACTCAGTGTGCTGGATGGCAGAGTGGGTTCTGGCAGGAAGCATTTTCATACTTTCCTTTCCCTCTTCTTGCTCCCAGTTTGACCAGAAAGAGCAGAAGAGCTTCCTGAGGCCTCGGAAAGACTACTGGGACTTCCTCTGTGCAGCCCTGTGGCAGCAGCGGGGGGACACGGAGCCAGTCCGCTTCGTCCACTCACAGGACAAGGTATCCAGGGCCAGGTGACAGGGAGGCTAGCCCCGGCATGGTAGGGTCCTGCCCCTAAGCCCTTGACAAAGATGGCTAGGGGGCTGGAGGGGACACAGGCCTGCCCGAGGTCCCCCTTCTCACCCATCCCACTACACTGACCATAGCAGCCCTCGGCTGGTCCCCACCTGTCATCAGCCCTGCCCTCAGTACCCTTTCCTCCCACAGCCTTGAGTCCCAGGACACCCTTTCTCATTAACCATTCAGTCATTCCATCTTTTCTCCCTCTGTCCTAACACCTCTATCTGCCCACTTGTCCGCTATGCACTCTCAGTTGAAGACTCCACTGGGGAAGGGCCGGGCCTTCATCCGCTTCTGCCTTGCCCACGGACAACTGGCCGAGTCCCTGCAGCTCTGCCTCCTGAACCCAGAGCTTACCAGGTGGGTAAGAGCCTCTTTACCCCAAAAAGGATGATTTGATATCAAGGACAAATAGAGGAAGGGTTGTAAAGGGAAAGTGAAGGAAGAAAGGGCAGAGGGGGAGGTTAGAGTCCCAGTCCAGGTAGCATCGTGATGCTTGGGCCTCCTGGTCCCCAAGGCCCATAACCCTGTTCTGCAGAACCATCCTGATATGGGGTATAGTGGAAGTGGATTCTCTGTGGTCGGGGGTAGCAATAGCACCAGAACCAAAGGCCAAGAGCGTGGGTCATTGTTAACGCAGGGAGTGGTATGGCCCCCGGAGCCCTCTGGTGTGCCCTGAACTCCGGGAAGACATCCTGGACTCCCTCTATGCTCTCAACGGGATGACCTTCGACTTGGACCTGCAGCGGCCAGACTTGGATGGGGCCTGGCCCATGTTCTCAGAGTGAGTGGGGTCAGCATGGAGGGGAGCTTCTTTTCAATGCCTGCTCCCAGTACCACCACCCACCCAAACTAACCCTAAGCCTTCAGTCCCTAGCCCCATCTTTTCCTCCCTCCTTTATTGCTCCCTGAACTCCCTCTTCTCCACCTCCCTAGACTTCTGTCTTCCAAGTGTCATCTTAGGATGTCCCATGATGCTGCATGAAAGAGTTTTTGGATTGTTGGGGTGGAGAAGGCAATGGCAACCCACTCCAGTATTCTTGCCTGGAAAATCCCATGGACGGAGGAGCCTGGTGGGCTGCAGTCCATGGGGTTGCTAGGAGTAGGACACGACTGAGCGACTTCACTTTCACTTTTCACTTTCATGCATTGGAGAAGGAAATGGCAGCCCACTCCAGTGCTCTTGCCTGGAGAATCCCAGGGACGGGGGTGCCTGGTGGGCTGCCGTCTGTGGGGTTGCACAGAGTCGGACACAACTGAAGCAACTTGGTGGCGGTGGTGGGTTGTTGGGAAGGATAAATGGATGTTGGGATGGAATGGAAGGATGGATAGAAAATGGGATGCATGGGTAGATGGACAGAAGGAATGCATGCATCAGGGTGGAAAGGCAGGAACGCGGGAGGGTAGGTGGGATGAATGGGTGGCTGGAAAGATGGGGTATCCTGCATCCAAAGACCAAGGCCACTGCTGGAGAGAGACCTAGCGTCTCCCTGCCACTTTCACTTTCAGGTCCCACTGCTCCAATTCCAGCCGGACCCGGGGAAGAAGACCCAGAAAGACCAAAGATTCCCTGAAGGAGGTGCCTCTTCCCAACCTTCACTCTAGTTACCTCTTCTTTATCTCTGTTGGGACCCCCAGGTTGAAAAGTAACTGAGCCCTGACCCAGCTAGACAAAGACGGAGTGGCCAACATGTGGAGCTCACGAGCCACAGTAGCATAGGCTTATATTCCTCAGGTGGTGAGGATATCTACCAGAGAGAGAGAGGAACCACAGGCAGCACCTGCATGCACCATTGAGGGCCCCAGGGAAGAGGGATGCCTGGGGAGGGTGACTGGAAGCTTATAGGAAACAGCCCAGGGAAACCACCTCTGCTGGACGGTTTGCAAACATGTCAGTTCAATTCAGAGAGTAACTAAAGAGCCAGATTGCCTGCTTCATATCCCAGCTCCATCCCTTACTAGCTATAGTCCTTGGCACAAAACTTGTCCTGTCTCACGGGGTGGGGGCGGAGGTTGTGACGATGCATCAGCCCAGGTGCAGTGCAGGGCAAGGCTCCTGCTACACACCCACTAGGCAGTAGCTTGTGGTTCTCATCCTTCCATCGGCTCACTTTGCACCACCATCCCGCCAGCTTCCAGGACCGGGGTGCAGATACTATATATAGCTCCATCTCGGACCTTAAGGAGTTCCAGATCTCTTCAGGGAGACAGACCCTAAAGGAACACATTGCAACACACATTAAATGTAGTGACCAGACACACCTAGGAACAGGGGCGTGCTGAGAAGGCTTCTTGACAGAGGTGGCTCTTAGGGGCTGTTGGTCTATTTAAGCTTTCACCACAACCCTGTAAGGAGATATTATTATTCCCATTTTACAGATCAGAAAAAGGAAACACAGAGAAGGCAAGTTCGGGGGGAGGGGGGAGATCAGAGGAGAGTGGTGGGAAGGACTTAGGGGAAATCAGATAGATGCAGAAGATGAAGATAAAGGAGGGAGGAAGATGCAGACTGGAGGCGAGGAAGGAAAGGGCGTTGAGAAGCACTATTGCTCCCTGGTGAGATGAAAGCCCAGGCCTCGGGTCACCTGAGGTTGTCAACACTGAGATTCCTAGACCCTACCCCAGATCTCCTGAATCAGACTTCTAGTGGGAGGACTCAGGAATTCATATATTTAGCAAACACACTAGATTAGGGCTGTGACTTCTCCCATGCACCAGGATGTTGAGCTGGTGCTGAGAGTGATGATGGGTTTGGGGCTTCTCTGCAGATATCAGCCACATATGGGAACTTCACAGAAGTCCACCTAGAGGAGCCACACACAAGCCAAGCCAGCTGTCTGCGAGATGCACCCAGGGAAGATGGGTTGGCTGGACTTCCCAGGTCCCAGCAACACAGGCATCATCCCCACTTTTTGGAAAAGAAGAAGGAAGATCCCAGGAGCCTTGGGTCCCCCCCGAGCATGTGGGAACTAGAGGGGGAGGAGTTTAAGCAAGACCAGGAGAAAGGAGCTCCAAGGACAGGGATCTGCCTGGAGGACTCAACACCCACCATCCAGGGACAGGGGGAGGGGGCCAGAGATACCCTGAAGGAGGTGATAGGGTCAGAGGCTGAGGGCAAGGGAGCTTTGCTGGGTGTGGAGGGCCAGAGGACAGCAGAGGGGACTCATGAAGGCGAAGCAGAGGGGAGTCATATCCATAGACTGCTGGCCTCCAGCCCCAAAGGGACAACAGGGGCTGTAGTGTCATGCGGCAAGCAGGATGGGAAGGTGCCTAGTATCCCAGGGCAGCTCTGGGTCCTTCGGGGCCCGGGAACCAAGGAAGACTCCACCGCAGAGAAGCCTCAAGAGCAGACAGGAGTGACCAGTGTGACCAGGAGGGAGGAACAAGCAGAGATGGCCTTGCAGGATGTCATCAAGGTGAGAACATTTGAGCTCCGTACTTGTCTCTGCTCCCTGCTCTAACCTGGCCCATAGGCGGGTGTCTTCAAGGGTGGCCCTGGGCCCCTTCCGGCCCATAGACTAATTTGTATTGGTCAACACAGAACCATTATGATTTGAGGATTCCATCTGAAGTTCTTTGGTTCATCACATGAAGAACATGCATTCTTCAATTTATCACAATCCCCACCTCTCCCTATTGCCTCACACCAGGCCCACATTGTTCATCCTTGCTACCTGCCCAGCCCCTGTAGGCATCTGAGTTTGCAATCCCTTCCCAAAAGTTCTTCAGGGCAGTTGCTTGTCCTCAAGATCCATAACCCTCTTTACTGGCAGATTTCTTCCCAATATCTAAGTTCTGCTATTGCAGGCCCCACCCACCTCATTGCTCCTGTGGCTGCTTCTCTTCGAGGTCACCCAAATTATTTTCAAGCCTTCCTCCAACATCCTCCCTAGGCAGAGGCTTCCAGATGCTTGCCATCAGTGACTTGGATATTTTAGTGAAGGAAGAAATCATGGCTCCAGGCTCACCCAGGGGCACAACCAGGCACCACAGCTCCCAGGGCTGTCCCCAGTCCTGCGCTCCCCCCAAGGGCTGTTTCACATGACCTGGGGTCTCATGGGGGTGTTTGCCAGGTCAAGTCCCAGGCTGGGGTCTCTGCCCTCCTCCTTCAGCTTCCATTTCCTTTCACCCTGTCCCCACCCTCAGAGCCTCAGACATGGGCTGCAGAAAACCCAGGAGCAAGCCCAGCACCAGGAGCAGCTGCTGAAGGAGCAGGAAGGGGAGCTGAAGGCACTGCAGGAGCAGCTCAGCAGGTAACCTAGGCAACCAACATCACAACCGGGTGTGGGAGCCGGGAGGCCAAGGGACGGGAGGCTCGCATTCATGGTCACACCAGCAAGCATCTTCTGAGCACTTCCCATGTACCAGGCCTTGTGAGGGCACAACTTTGGGGTGCCAAGGTATACAGAACACTATTCCTGCTACCCCTTGCCAGCACCCTCCCTCTCTGGCCTCCCTAAGTAGCCCCAGGAGAGCTCTATGCGTCCCTCCCTCCCTCACTCCCCTTTGCCACTTTCTGCTGCCTCTTCTAGGTTCTCCTCTCTCTTTTCCATCCACGAAGCGCCCCCCTCCACCACATTCCTGCCCCACTCTGTCTCTGTCTCCCTCTTTCCCTCTGTTTGCCTCTCCTTTTCCTTTTCCCTGTTGTACAATCTCTCTTTCACCCTCTTGATCATCGTCATCAAAACTATCATCACGGAGGACATACATCCCTGGCATTCTTCCAGGTGCTTGCTCCTAACAACCTCAGGAGATCAGTCCTTCAAGAACCCCCATTTTATAGATGAGGAGGCTACGGCTCCAAGATGCTACACAACTCACCCAACATCAACTAGTCAGTGGAGGAGCCGAGATCCAGACCCTGCAGCTGACTCCAGACCCAGGGGGCTAAAGGCCACTCCTCAGCCGGGATCCCCTATGCCTGTGTACCAGTCCCCCACCCCATCTCTCCCTCTCTCAGCAACCAGCACATTCATCTTCCCATCATCACATCCACCTCAGGGGTCCCAAGTGCACACTTGTCTCTGCTTTCCCCCTCAGCCTTTCGTTTTCTTACGCTCTCGGTCACAGTTTGTTTTTGAATTATGACACCTCACGAAGTTCATCCTTGGTCTGACTCAGCCTCACCATGTGTCTCTCCCTTGGTGTCTGTGTGCCTCGGTTTGCCCGCCGGCCTTGCCCCTCCCAGTGGCTGACACCTGCCCTAACCCAGGGGATCCTGCGTAGCTGTGATTCAGACTGAATCACAGAACCATCTACTGACTGCTTAACAGGCACATAGAGGCCTGGGACCCAGGAGCCAACCCCAAAAGGCCCCCAGGCACTCCTACCACCAAATGCTCAGCTGAGTCCTGTGTTTTTTTTCAGCCAAGTATCCCATGATTCAGACCCTAAGTGAGTGCAGGGACCTTGCCCACCCAAGGCCATCTCTGAGGAACAAGACAGGCTGCAGGGAGAAGCTGGGAGGTTCTGGAAAGACCACCCAGCCCCAGTTGCTCCCTGAGGCTGGGCAAGCCCTTGTCTCACAGCCCCCTGTTCTGCCCCTGTTATCCCATTCATCACCCAGTCATTCCACAAACACTCCACATGCCCACTCTGTGCCAGGCCTGTTCTGTGTGCTATGATAGTTATGATTATGACGGTCAAGAGGGTGAAAGAAAGATTGTACGACAGGGAACCGGAAAATGAGAGGCAAACAGGAAAAGAGAGAGACAGACAGAGAGAGAGAAGATACTTTCAAGGATAAAACGCAAAATGCTTGCCCTTGTGGAGCTTACACACCAGTGGGAGAGGCAGTTAATAAACACAAGCAAATAAAATACACAGGATGTCAGATTGTGGTGAGTTCTAAGAAGAAAAAAATTAAAGCAGGAGAGAGGAATAGGAAGTGACAGGGGTGATACTTTAAATGAGGTGGCCTCACCAGGGGAGGCCTCCCTGGAAAGGCGAAGTTTGAGTTAAGACCTGAAGGAAGTGAGAAGGAGCCATTTGTATATGTGATAGAAGAATGTTCCAGGCAGAGGGAACGGCAGGAGCAAAGGCCCTGTGGTGGGAATGGGCATGGCATCAGGAGTGCCACTATAGCCCCAGTGGCAGGAAAGGGAGACAGGATGCAGGAAAAGGTCAGGTGGGTAATGGGAAACCCTAGCGGGTCATCAGAGGACCTTGGCTTTGGCATGACTTTGAACAACTGAGTCTCCTGGTCAGAGGAGGGACATGATGTATCTCTGCTTATTAAAAATACACTTCTCTGCATTTAAAAAACAATTCAGGGGTTTTTAGTGTGTTCACAAAGTTGTGCATCCACAATCAATTTTAGAATATTTTCATCACCCCAAAGAGAAACCTGGAACTTATTAGCAGACACTGCCCAACCCCCCTTCTCCACCTTCTAGCCCTGGGAAACCACTAATCTGCCCTCTGTCTGCACGGGTGTGCCTGTTCCAGGCTGGCCTGTGCTTTCAGGGACTCATGCCCCCGGCTCCATGGAGGTAGTCTACAGGGGATCCAAGCTGGAAGTGGGGAGACTGATAAGGAAGGGGAGCTGGGATGTACTAGGGGCGATGGGGGTGCAGGGAGCAGCTGGATTCTGAAGTCAGTCTTCCCAAGGCACTGGATGTGGGGCGAGAAAGATGGAAGTTGAGACTGACTCCAGGCCTTCGGCCTGACTAACTGGAAAGCTAGAGTCACTGTGTGGAGGAGCCGGCTGGCAGGAACAGCTCAGGCATTGGGTTTGGAGCCTGCCAAGCTCGAGACCCCTGATAGACCCCAAGTGGAGCTTTGCACGGGTGGTTGAGTGGAGTGGAGGAGAGAGGCTGGGCTGGAGGACCCACTGGAGAGTCACTGGAATGCAGGTGGTGAGTAACAGAAGCTTCTGAGGCTGGGACAAAAATGTGCCCCTCTGCCTCCTGGGAGCCAGGAACTTAGACCCCGCACCCCTGGGAAAGGAGCCGTGGGCTTAGAGCTGGTGACAGTGTGTCCCCACCAGTGAGAAGGGCTATGGGGCCCAGGCAGAGAGTGAACAATGTTCGCTCTGCCTCTGTTGTGGCCACGGGCGGGGAGGGCACAGCAGGGAACAGGACAGGCACATCTACTCTCAGAGGCCTGCAGAGACAGACGACAGATCAACAAATAGAAATACAGTTTTAGATAGTCAGGGGCCCTGCAGGGGCCAGAGAGAGAGAGGAGAGTCATCTAGAATTGGAGTCAGGGAAGCGCTCTCTGAGGAGGTGACATTTGAGCAGAAATTCCAACCACAGGCAAAGCTGGACCAGGCAGGTATCTCGAGAGGAGTCCTGCAAGCAAGAGAACTGGCAGAGGCAAAGGCCCAGGAGGTGTGAGCTTGGGGACAAGCAGGCATGTGGCTGGAGCAGAGACCTCCACGTGCTCTAGAAGCAGGGTCGTGAACAGAAGGGTCTCAGGGTCTGACTTGGGTTTCTGAAGGATGGCTCTGATGGGGAGAATGGACTCAGGATGGGCAGGGTGCAGAGCCCCAGGCTAGACCCTCAGGGGAGACGCAGCAGGCCCCAGAGCAGACCAACCCAGGGCTATAAAATTATACCTGGGCTTTCCATACCCGCTTCCTGGCTTTCTGACTGTGTGGCCCTGGGTCCCTCTTCAGCCTTAAGTCCCTGATTTGCAAAAGGAGATGGTTGACTCTCTGCCAGCTCAGATGCTCTGTGAGATCTTCTTTCCAAGCAGATCTGCCCCCTGGGTTAACCTCAAAGTAGATGGTATTAGGACAGGTACGAGTGGAAGGTATTCAGATGGGGAACTAGGTAAACATCCCTTCTTCCCACCATCTTGGGTGGCAGCACTGAGCTCCCCAGAGGCTGCTGCAGGACCGTAAGGATCCATCCCACTCTCCTACCTGCTGTCCACTCAACCCTGGTACCACAAACCACTGGTGGCCAGGGTCCTGCATGCATGCAAGTGTGGGGAGGCAAGAGATTAGAGCTGGGCAGGCCTGCTCTCAGATTTCTGCTCCCTCCACTTATCAAGTTATGTGACCTTGGGCAAGTGTTACTCCCCCTCTAAAGGTCTGTTTTCTTTCCTATAAAGTGATGATCATATCACCTGTCACATAAATTTGTGAAAGTTCAATGAAACAAGGCCATAAAGCACCAAGCTCAGTGCCAGGCACATAGTAGATTCTCAATAGACTTTAATTCCCTCCGTGTTAAGAGGCCACACCTCTTGCCCTAGGAGTGTCTGTGGTGGTGGTGGTTTAGTCTGTAAGTCGTGTTCGGCTCTTGAGACTCCACGGACTGTAGCCTGCCAGGCTCCTCTGTCCATAGGATTTTCCAGGCAAGAATACTGGAGTGGGTTGCCATTTCCTTCTCCGGGGGATCTTCCCGACCCAGGACTGGAACTCAATTCTCCTGCATTGCAGGCAGATTCTTTACAGACTGAGCTATGGAGGGAAGCCCTTAAATACTTAAAATGCTTCAGTAGTTTCCATGGCACTGAGATCAAAGTCCACTCCTCCTGGAGCACTGAGGACTGCTGCCTACCTCCCGCCTCGCCTTCTGCCTCCCCACCCCACCTCAACCCCTGTATAGCATTGGCCAAAAAGCTCATACAGGTTTTCCCTTAAAGCTTATAAAAAAACTAAACAAACTTTTTGGCCAACCCAATAGTTTCGCGTGTCCTTCTTTCATTTCCTCAAACAAGCCAAGTTCTTCCCAACTTGCAGAACTTGGCATGTCCCTTTCGCTGGCTCTGCAAGGCTGCTTCCTTGTCTTTCAGATCTGCTTAAAGGTCACCCTGTCTAAGACCTCCTGAGTGCTCCCTCAGCTCTGCATCTCTGCTCCTCCTTTGTCGTTGTCACACACTTAATTATCTTATTGGTCCATCATTCATTTTGACCACTGCCCCAAATGTGCTATAAGCTCCACCAAGAACCTTAGGCATTGCTATAATTTCCAGCACCTAACACAGTCACTGGCACACAGTAGGTGCTTAATTTCTTGCCTGGAGAATCCCATGGTCAGAGGAGCCTGGCGGACTACAGTCTATAGGGTCACAAAGAGTCAGACACAACTGAAGTGACTTAATAACAGGTGCTTAATAAATCTTCCCTCACTGGCTCTGCAAGGCTGCTTCCTTGTCTTTCAGATCTGCTTAAAGGTCACCCTGTCTAAGACCTCCTGAGTGCTCCCTCAGCTCTGCATCTCTGCCCCTCCTTTGTCGTTGTCACACACTTAATTATCTTATTGGTCCATCACTCATTTTGACCACTGCCCCAAATGTGCTATAAGCTCCACCAAGAACCTTAGGCATTGCTATAATTTCCAGCACCTAACAAAGTCACTGGCACACAGTAGGTGCTTAATTTCTTGCCTGGAGAATCCCATGGTCAGAGGAGCCTGGCGGGCTACAGTCTATAGGGTCACAAAGAGTCAGACACAACTGAAGTGACTTAATAACAGGTGCTTAATAAATCTTCCCTCTAACCGCAAAGACACTGACTAACCGCAGTGGTCACATTAGGGCCTGCGCTGCCCACACCAGAGGCCCTGGGATCACTGGGCAAGTAGCTTAGCTTAGGAATATGACATCCTAATACTAAGAAACGAAGAGGCTGAGGGCTCAAATGTTTGTTAAGTCACTCTTCCCTACGGCTGCAGGGACTGGCCTTTCTGAATTTCGGTGGCTAGCTGTTGTTCATCTGATGCCATGGCCCACCCAGTTTTCCTCCCTGCAGCATGCTATGGCAGAAATTCTTAAATTAATAATTCAATTCATTGTCAAGCCTCTTCCCCTAGGGGCGTGGGTATACACACACAAACATACACACACACACACACACATCCAGAGGTCACAGAACAGACACCACCATTACAACACCCACCTGTCTGAACAATGGAGTAAGAGGTGAGGGCCTGGAGCTAGGACCTTTTTATTTCTAGTCCATTAGATTTCTTAGAAACTTCTAGGAAGCCACTAAGATAAAAGGAAAAGGCAAGAACAGAACTGAGGAGTTTCCAAGCCCAAACTGAAACAGAAATTTAAGAAAGCCATATGTTTAATATGATTTTTTTTAACTGAAAAGACAATGTAATGCAATTTTTCAAAATATTTTAAAGCCAAAAAGTCACTTCAAATCCTACATCACTTACAGCTTTCCTCAAACACCACAGCTGTTTTCAGCTGGCGCTGCCCATTCAGCCTGTGTTCCCAGACACCCACTTCCCCCCAGAGATCAGCCAGGATTATGAGCATGCCTTTACAGAAAATTATACTTTAAAATGAAAATGTTAAAGAGAGAGAAGGAAAACAATTGAAAATACTGGCTTGTTCTCTCTAAAGGTACATGCAAGGCTAGACCCTGTTTTCATTGCTCTAATCGATTGATGAGTCAGTCTGTAGGTGTCAGGTCACACAGTGTTTTGTTTGGTGTGATGTGTGTGTTGGGTGGTGAGTGTATGTGGTGTGTCGTAGGAGTTATTGGTGTGTGATGTGTTGTGAGTACGTGTGAAGTATGTGCATGTGTGGTGTGTGTGGTGTACATGTTATGTGCATGTGTGTGGTGTGTGTTATGATGTGTGAGTTGTGTGTGTGTGATGTGTTATATTGTGAGTGTGTATGTCTAGTGGGGGTGTGGCATAGGCATATGTGATGTGTGTGGTATGTGTGTAGTGTGTGTGTGCTGTGTTATGAGTGTTGGTGGTATGTGTGTACGGCATCTAGTGTGGTGTGTGCGTGCCTGTATGTGTTGTGAATGTGTGTTGTATGTGGTGTGTGTGCTATGTTGTGAAGGTGAGGTGTGTGGGATGTTGTGTATGGGGTGTATGTGTGTGTGGTATCTAGTGTAGGGTGTGTACCTATATGTGTTGTGAATGTGTGTTATATGTAGTGTGTGTGTGCGCCATTGTGAATGTATGGTGTGTGGTGTGTTATGTGGTGTGTGTATACAGTGTGTAGTGTGTGCCCACTATGTTGTGTGTTCAGTGTATGTGTGTGGTGTCTAGTGTGGTGTGTGTGCCTGTATGCACTGCGATTGTGTGTTATATGTGCTGTGTGTGTGCTGTGTTATGAATGTATGGTGTGTGGGGTGTGTGTAGTGTGTGTGCTGTGTAGTGACTGTGTGTGGTGTACGTGTGTGTGGCATCTAGTGTGGTGTGTGTGCCTGTATATGTTGTGAATTTCTGTTCTATGTGGTGTGGGTGTGCTGTGCCATGAATGTGTGGTATGAGGGGTGTGGGGTATTATATGGCATGTGTGTATAGTGTGTAGTGTGTGTGTGCTATGTTGTGTGTTCAGTGTATGTGTGTGTAGTGTCTAATGTGGTGTGTGTGCCTATATGTGTTGCAATTGTGTGTTATATGTGGTATATGCGTACTGTGTTGTGAATGTATGGTGTGTGGGGTGTATGTAGTGTGCAGTGTATGTGTGCTGTGTTCTGAGTGTGTGTAGTGCATGTGATGTCTAGTGCAGCGCGTGTCCCTGTATGTGTTGCAAATGTGTATTGTATGTGGCGTGTGTATGCTGTGTTGTGATTGTATGGTATGTGGGGTGTTATGTGGCATGTGTGTATAGTGTGTAGTGTGTGTGTGCTATGTTGTGTGTGCAGTGTCTAGTGTAGTGTGTGTGCCTGTGTGTGTTGTGGTTGTGTGTTATATGTGGTGTGTGTGTGCAGTACTGTGATTGTAAGGTGTGTGTGTGCACTTCAGCTGCAGGGGCACCAGCAGCTTCCTGAGTGGGGCTCCTGTCACTCAGCCCGGCTCAGGCACACATGCTGCACCGTCCCCCCAGAACTCAGCCCTCCTCTGTGCCCAGGTGTCAGGAGGAGAGGGCCCGGCTACAGGCGGAGCTGGAGCAGAAGCAACGGGAGGCTGAGAGGAAGGACGCCGTGTACGAGAAGGAGCTTGGCGGGCAGCGGGACCTGGTCCGAGCCATGAAGAGTCGGGTGCTGGAGCTGATTCAGTAAGGGCGGGACCCAGGGGTGGGGTGCAGGAGAGGGCATGGTGTCAGGCATGCCCCCTGGACCTTTGTGTATACCAACTCATTTTCTTCTTTCAGCCACCTCTGCTGTTATCCCCATGTCACACATGAGAAAACTGAGGATCAGAGAGGCTGACTTGGCCACCAAGGACACACAGCATACAAATTTGCATAGAGTCCTCTGCCTCTAAGGCAAGCCCCCCTCCAACCCCCACAAACACACGCACCAACCAAGGTTAGGAAAAGGGAAAGGAGCCCAGAGGTTAGCTGGGAGGTAATCTCATGTCTTATACCTGCCTGCCTGCTGGACTTCCTCAGACCACTGGGCCTGTGGCCTGTCCTGGATCAGCTGTCCTGAGTTCCAGAGGCTGAGCTCACCAGGATTCATCCCAAACCACTAAACTCTCTGAAGGGTAGGAAGAAATGCGTAAAACCTGCTTTCTACCCTTTGGTCCAGTGAGAAGATAATTCCCAGATACACAGTGTTCTCTCATTTCATTCAGAAAAAAACGAGACTGTTGGACTCAGGTTCCCTTAGAACTGGAAGGCTACTGAGGGATCACCTAGAAATAAATCCTCTTGCACAAAATCCAAGTGATTAAAGGTGAGACAAGGGAGAGATCAGCCAGGAAAGAAAGAAGAATTTAAGGAATAATCTCCCCTGAGGAGCTGTCAACTGGGAAGAAGCTAATAAAAAATTAGCTATTTATCTCACAAAAGAATTTAAGGTGGCTAACAATAAGACATATAGACGGAGGGAGACATATATATATATATATGATTGTTAAAGAAAAATAGAAGGTTTCCTGAAAGATGAAAAAGATACTCCTGAAGTGTCAGGTTTAAAACTTAACTCTGAACATCTTGGTAGCAGGATGAAAAAGAGAAATGCAGAAAGTTTCACCATCCATTCAAAGGAGCAATAGCAGTTCACCAAGAGAGACAAATGTTTTTCCTCGTGCTAAAGAAATTAATCACAAGGTCACAAGCCACACTGTACAATGTCCCTCCCAGAAGCATTATGGAAGACATGGCCCTAAGCCACAAAAAAAAAAAAAGGAGGGTGGAGCAAGAAGGTTGACTTCTGTGTCAAGATGGTAGACTGGCCACATGTTAGTTACTTAGTTCAGTCGCTCAGTCATGTCCGACTCTGCAACCCCATGGACTGCAGCACACCAGGCCTCCCTGTCCATCACCAACTCCCGGAGTTTACTCAAACTCCTGTCCATTGAGTCAGTGATGCCATCTAACCATCTCATCCTCTGTCATCCCCTTCTTCTCCCGCCTTCAATCTTTTCCCAGCATCAGGGTCTTTTCAAATGAGTCAGTTCTTCACATCAGGTGACCACACATTATCCAGCCTCTCTCCTGAGATCTCACTAGAATGATTGTAAAGGAATAAAACAGAGAGAAAGTTGGAGGAGCCAACCACGAATGAGAGATAATAGCTAATTTCCAGAAGCCAGAAAATAGATGGAGAAGCGGATACTGAATTTAGCCCAAGTTAGTACTCCAGGGCCCAGAGACACCAAGAACACAGATGGCAGAAGGGATGTGGGGCAGAAACTGGGAAAATTCACTGATAAAGTCATTAGAAAGAGCAGTGTACATCCTGCTCTATACAGCTGTGGAGTGTACAATGTACAGTACCTTCTGCCTGCCTCCCCAACTACAGAACATCTAAGAGTGAGGGGTCTATCATCAGGCAAATAATTAAAAGTTGATGTGGCAGGTAGCACCCTGCCCAATCCGCCCTAAAGTGAGGCTACTAGGCAGCCATCCCCATCTACGCCTTGGAGCTCTAACGGCTTTTATCACCTCTTTATTAAACATGAAATGACAACCGAGGATCCCCAGACATGTGAGGAGAGCCTAGAAAACAAAGGGGAGTGACAAAGATAAACAAACAAAAAAGATCCATCTTCCATGATGCTATGAAAAGCAACCATCAAAAGATGAGAAACATTCTTGGAAATTAAAAATATGATTACTGAAATGTTTGAATTCACTCGGATTGGAAAAGATGAGGCAGTCTCTCAGAATGTATAATGAAAGCACAGATAAATGAAGACATGAGAGAAATAGAAACACAGAGAATCAATCCAGGAGTTCTAATAACTTCTCCAACTGACAGGAGTTCCAAAAAAGGAGAGAATAAAAAGGAGGTGATTATCCAATAAAAATACGAGATACGTTTCCAGTTCTTATGGGAGTTGTTTTTCAGATTTAGAGATTTCACTGAGCAACCAGCATAATAAAGGAAAGGCGCAGGGTAAACCACGTTTAGATACATCATTGTGATATTTCATTAAAACAAAGATAAGGAGAATATCCTAAAAGACAGGTCCACTTATAAAAGAAATAGAACCCAACAAATTCTAAGGGTTCAGAGACATAGGTTTCAATGGTTAAGATGCAATGGTGTAATGCTTTCAAGTTCTCAGAAAAACTGGCTTTTGCCCTTGAATTCTACATCCAGCCAAACTATGAAGCAAGTGGGGAGGTGGTGGAGGAAAGACATTTTTCAGATAGATAGGTTGCATAAAATTCACATCCCACACAGACTTTCTTCGGAAGTTAATTAAGGATGTGCTCCAGAGAAACAAGGAAGTAAGCCAAGAAAGGAGAAGATGTGGAACTTAGGAATAGTAGCTCTAGCCCATGAGGAATGGAAAGGGAATTCCCATGATGACAAGTGAACAGCAAGCCCAGGAAGTAGTCAGTTCAGACTATAGCAGAAGTATGGAGTGCCCAGGAGGGAGTTCTCAGGAGAGAAAAAGCTTCAGTAGAATATCTGAGATGATGAAGAAGGGGGTGGGTGCGGATGAGGCTATGTTAAATGCAAGTCATGCAAGGAGCAAAGAAAAGTCCTTAGAAAGTTCCAGAAAAATAAAAATTTCCAAGAACGGAAATATCACAGAACATAGCTCCAGGTGACGCGATGTATTTATATATTGTCTAGTAATGTAAATACTGTTCATTGATTATTTTCAATATTAGAATCAATCTAAAGGTAAAGCACAGAAAACAGTTATAATTATAGAACAAACCTAACTGTTACTACCTAAACAGTGTCAAGTATATAATAGGATCCAACAGGAATTCCTGTGAAGATGGAAATGTTTTGCATTTGCCATGTCCAATATGGTAGCTACTAGGAGGCTAGGAGGAGAAGGGGATGACAGAGGATGAGATGGTTGGATGGCATCACTGACTCAATGGACATGAGTTTTAGTAAATTCCGGGAGTTGGCGATGGACAGGGAGGCCTGGCGGGCTGCAGTCCATGGGGTCACAAAGAGTTGGACACGACTGAGCAACTGAACTGAGCTGAACTGAACTGAACTGAGTCTCTGGTAGCAACTGAGTACCTCAAAAGTGACTGGTGCAACTGAGAAACTGAAATTTTAAGTTTATTTAACTTTATCACTTATATGTGGAATCTAAAAAATACAACAAACCAGTGAATAAAACAAAAAGAAGCAGACACAGATATAGAGAACAAAGTAGTGGTTTCCAGTGAGAAAAAGAGAGGAGGGAGGAGCAATATAGGGGTAGGGGACTGTTTTAAAGGAAGTTATTATGGCATTATCGTGTATGTGAAACTTTTGAAAATTGTAAAGTACTGTAGAATTTAAAGAATCTTTCATTCAATAAAAATAATAATAAGACAAAAAATTAAACATATACCTACATATCCACATATGGCTAATGGCTACCATATTGGATGTTGCAAGAGTAGATGACAAATTAGGAGGTGGAGAAGGAGGAGCGCTGAAGAGAAGGGATGCTGACACCATCTTGTTACAGAATGGCAGTTGTATGATGCTGTCTATAGTTAATAGACAACAACAGTTAATGAGAGAGAAACAAATCTGTGGGTATATTCTATAAAATTCCAGTAGTAACCAAAAAAGGAACCAAAAATGGGGATATAACTGCATTGAGAGGAAGGAGGAGTTAGTAAGGATGGTAATAAATAGGCTGTATCCTGTGATATCAAGGAGCTCTATGAAAGATACTCTCTCTTGATAAATCAAGGTGGAGGAGTATGAGTGCATTACTCAAATATGGAAGTAATATCAAGGGAAAAAACCTAAAAGATGTAAGAAGTGGTTTGCCACTGAGAATGGGAAGGAGGTATATCTATTTCTTTTTGATATAATTCCTTCTGGACTGTTCAGTGTTTAAATCATGCCTGTGTGCCCCCTGAGGCCTTTCGGGATCAGGGAGCATTTCTTGGAGGAGGCGGGATATGAACAGATTCTTAAATAATGGGTCAAGATTATGTTGGGTGAAGGCAGCCTGAGTGTCATCGCCCACCTCCCCAGAAAAACTGGAGACTCACGGATCTCTCCGGTGTGTGTGTCTCACTGTCCCTTCACTTGTCTGCATTTCTCCCTCACTACATCTCTTTCTTGGTCTCTCCGTCTTGCTCCATATGTCTCTCTCTCTGTGGCTCTGTCCTGTCTCTGCATTTTCCCCTGTTCTTTCTCTCTCCCTACACAACCATCTCCCTGTCTCCTCTGTGTGTCTGTCTCCATCTCCACCTCCCTGACTTCCTTTCTCTCTCTCTCTCTCTGAGTGCCTGTATCTCTTTCCCTCCCTGTCTCCCTCTTCATTTCTGGGTCTCTGTCTTTCTGCTCCGCTGTTCCACATCTCCTTCTGTCTCTCTGTGTCTATCTCTGTGTGACTTCCTCTGTTTTTCTCTGTCTCTCCCTCTTGTCTCTGTGTGCCTGTTTCTATTTCTCCATCTGTGCATCTCCATCTTTCTCTCTTCCTCTATCATCTTCTTCCTCTCTCTGTCTGTGTGTGTCCCCACCTCTACTTGCCCATCAGGGAGAAGGATATCCTGTGGCAGAAAGTCCAGCATCTCTCTTCTGTGGCCCCTGGATGCTGTGTCGTCTGCAGCAAGATCTTTGGCCGGTTGTCTCGGCGGTACCCATGCAGGTAATGGGTGGGGTACAGAATCCTTCCTCTGGGACAGCCCAGTTTCCACCAGCCCACAGCCCCGTGCCCACTCCAGAGAAGGGAAAGACACAGGAACTAGGCATTTGGTGAAAGGCCTCTTGAAGCTGGCCACTCATTTTACCCAATACTTAGCAGAGACATGAGCAAGAACTGTAGAAAGGGATGGACTTGAGCAAGACGGGACAGGGTGACCCTTCCAGGAGCTGACTGCTTAATCGACCAGCTAATCTCATCTGGGAAGAGAGTTCTTGTCCAAAGGAAGCTGCTGTCCTCACCTTGCCCTGGGAACATGGTGAGAGGGCAGACAGCAAGAGAAAGGACAGTGGGCCATCAGGAGAACCTGCCACCTGGAGGACCCGGGAAGGGTGGGGCATCAGGACACCTTTTAGGAAAGAGAAGGCCTCCTGAGGTAGACCCAGGGCCATTCAGCCAGAAGATGAGAAATGCAGAGACAGACACAAAGATGCGCGAACTTCATGACCCACCCCACGTATGCACGCATGTGCACCCACGCTTCTGCGTCTGCTCCCCAGGCTCTGCGGAGGCCTGGTTTGCCATGCCTGCTCTGTGGACTACAAGAAGAGAGAGCGCCACTGCCCACCCTGCTCCCAGAGGAGAGACGCCCAGGTTCTCTGATCGAGACCCATCCGGGACTGGCTGCTCCATCCCACCTGACTCCTCCCCTTGGCCCTTGCCAGCCCTCTGGTCTGACCAGTCCTGCCGTCTAAGGCAGACAGTGCTTGAGTGGACAGACCGTGGTGTGGAAGGTGGAAGGAGCCGGGGTGGCAGTCAGGAAAGAGGTTCTAACCCTGCATCTCCCACTGATGAGCTGGGTGACTTTGGCAGAGCTGTCAGGCTTTTCGGTGGTCCAGGTGTTTCCCCTCCACCCTCATTCCTTAGTCAGCCCACCCTATGGGTAAATACCTAGGCATGAAATGACAAGGTATGGTAAGTATATGTTTAAGTTTTAAGAAATGGCAGAGTTACTTCCCAAAGAGATTATATTAATATGTCATACCTTCTCACCGACAGGGTGCAGGAGTACCAGTTACTCCCCGGGGCATCTGGTTTGGTGGGCTTGAGGGGAGGCTTGAGGCTCTCTGCCCTTTCCTTCCAACCACTGCGGTGACTTGGTGGGTCCAAGTTCTGAGCATTTCAGAAGAAGGGGCTGAGTCTAGGTGACTCTCTCTGCAGTGCTTCTGCAGCTAGACTTCAATACTAAAGACAGTTGATGAGGACACTTGTAGCTCCATGGTATGAGATTGTGTCCCTTGCCTGCTCAAGAAGTCTTACCCGAATTATGGTTACTCAGTAGGAGTTCCCTGGTGCCTCAAACAGTAAAGAACCCATCTGCAATGCAGGAGACCCAGCTTCGACCCCTGGGTCAGGAAGATCCCCTGGAGAAGGGGATGGCAACACACTCCAGCCTTTTTGCCTAGAGAACCCAATGGACAGAGGAGCCTGGTGGGCTACAGTCCACGAGGTCACAAAGAGTCTGACATGACTGAGCGACTAGGCCTACACACAGCGGTCATCCAGTTATGGTAGTCCTGAGAACGCTGTTTCAGAAGAGGTGTGGACCCCGTTCTGTGGCTAGGTGATTAGCTGCCCTACTTGGGCTGTAGGGCAGACTTGACAATCTCAAAGAGGCGTGCTACTCCTGGCCCCTCTGCCTCAAGCAGACTGCCAAAGCCTCTGCGGTGGTTGAGCAACCCTGTGGCTCTGACTAGAGCCTGCGGACCGCCTCTCGGGCTCAGGGCCGCCCAGATTGCATCCCATTACCATCTCAGGGAGGAAGAATTTTGCAACAGCAGTTCCTGCCCTGGAGAGCTGGTGAGAACTTCTCCTTAACAGGGGCACCAGCGAGGTTGNGGGGCAGGGAATGGAGGGAGTGAGGGGCAGAGCTGGGGCTACAGGAGCAAACAGGGCAATAGGATCAGCCCTGCCCTAAAGGACAGTGGTCCCTTCCTGGAGGCTAGACTTGCTCAGATACTTTTATTACAGCCAGTTCTTATTATAGCAGAAGACATCATATTCTAGTAGGACCTCTAGGGAGGAGCTCAGACCTACCTGATGAACTGGTGGGGGAGAGGGAACCCAGCAGAAGCCTATGTTCTAAGAGGAGGCAAGATGCTCTGGGAAGAGAACTCAGGAGGAAATCAGGGGCCAGGTATGGGGGAGCTTGATTGCCTTCCCTTATTTGGGAGAGATGGAAGGGCAATGCTGAAGACCAGCCTCTAGCTCAACACTGCCCCCCAAAGAGTCCCCACCAAGTCCAAGAGAGAACACAGAAGCTCCACAAAGATGTTGGGAAGCTTGTTAGACCCCGGGGACCCTCCAGCCAAAGATTCCGCAAGGGTCACCATAGTCCATCCCAGGGCATGGCACTGTGAGGGCACCAGTCCACCAGAAAAGAGCCCAGGGCACAGGTCTAGCCCAGTAGCACCAGAGGCATACCTAGGGGATGCCTCCAACAGAATCCCCCATATTCCTGGGGAGCAGTCTCCTGGGAACAAGCCCTGCAGGAACACACAGGTCTGAGCCAGTGCAATCTGGGTTATCGCTGTTGATGTGACTTCATTTGTGCTCACAGGCTGGGGGTGCCTTGGGAAATTTGGGTGACATAATTATTTCTTTAAATCAGATATCACTCGAATGCACCAACATACATCAGTTTTCGCGCTCTGTCAGTTTATTCGGTGCTCAACAAAATGATATCAAGCACCTAGATGTGCCAAACTGTGTGGGATAGCTTTGGGGAGACAAAATTTCATATACATATAAATCCTTCTTTCAAGAACCTCGCAGCATGGAGGAGGAAGCAGTCAAACTGATGATTATAAATCCCTGAAATTGATGCCATCATAGAGGTAAGCCCGGGGATGCAGAGAAGCGCAGAGAGGGGTGGCAGAGCGTGGAGGTGACATCAGGGCTGAACTGGAAAGGAGAGAAGGCTGGCCGGCCCAGGAAGGTGGGGAAGAGGGAACAGGAACTGTGTGACAAAGCCCAAGAGGAACCAGAGCAGCCGTAGTGGGGGAACTGCGAGTTGTTCCCTGTGGCCAGAGTTAAGTATTCCAGAGGGCATGGCTAGAAATAAGGCAGGAGAAGCATCAGAGGCAGGGGCACCAGATGCCCAGATCAGGAATTTGAAACTGACTGAGGGCAATGGGGGTCCTTGAAAGGTTGTAAGAGGGAAAGAAGGTGATCAAACTCACATTTGAGGCAAATGGCTCTGACAGAGAGTGGAGGATGGATTGAAGGGGGAAGACTTAAGGCAGAGAATATTTAGGAAACTAGTGATTTGGTCATGGTGGTAGCAGCAGCAGGAACCAACAGTGCCAAGCACCATTCTAACTGTTGTAAATATAGACTCATTTAATTCACATGAAAACCCTATGTGGTGAGTGCTCTAATTATCCCCATTTCACAGATGATGAAACTGAGGCCAGTAAGACACAATAACTTGCCCAAGGTCTACAGCCACTGACATTGCTGGGATCCTAACTCAGACAAATTTGCTCTGAAATTCAGAGGCATCCCACAATGAATTCAGTAGCTTAGGCGAGAGAATAAAGTGGGGCCTAACATCATCAATGAAGACCTTGAGGAGGAGATAATACAGAAAGATGTTAGAGAGATGGCCTTGGTAGAGAGGAGGAGCAAGGTGAGCCTGAGGGGCATGCCTTTCCCACGTTAAGGAGCAGGGGCACCCATGTCAGGGAATTCATGAGACCAGTTATTTATTTTTTCCTTTAGCCACGGACTTTATTGTTTGAATATTTGCAACTATTATTCTATACACAAATGTTAATTTCTTACAAAACCCTGTATTCCATATTGCTAGGTCACTTCACTCTCCATTTTATGCCATATTTCCATCAAAAACTATTTCCCTAAATTACAATGTGCCTGCTTGTGTGGTATTGTTCAGTTGCTAAGTTGTGTCCGACTATGCGATGCCATGGACTGCATAGCCCACAAGGCTCCTCTGTCCATGAGATTTCTCAGGCAAGAATACTGGAGTGGGTTGCCAGTTCCTTCTCCAGAGACCAGTTTTCTACATGTTGAGTTAGCAGCATCTGTGGGACCTCAGGGTAGATTTCAGGAAGTGGTTGCATGTAAGAATTTGAGCTTAGAGACAAGCTTAGCAGAGAAGCTGAGAACTATAGGTGTGGGAGACACTGACCCAGGCTGGATAGGGGCTGAAACCAAGGAGGCAAGTGGGCTGGTTTAGGGAGAGCAGGGAGAGACGGGGACCAAGGCAGAGTCCAAGGAACATCCATGTTTGAGGATGAATCAGGAAACAAAGCAACAAATGAGACCAAAAGAGTTTCTCAGAGAAATAAAAGAAGAATGGAGTCGGTGGGGTGAAATGTTGCAGAGATCAGATAAGACTTGAACAGTATCCATTTCACCATAAATAAAGTTTAAAAGCATACAGCAGGTTGGGAGAAAATATTTTACCATAATTGACAATTATGAGACAGTATGAGTGGATAGGGTAAAAGGTCCTTAATAGGAACTGTTACTAGGTAATAGGAGAGTGCATGATAATAGGAGAGCACACTGGAATAGTCTTTTGAAGAACGATGAGCAGGATTTATGAACATTTAAACATGCACAGTTATGACCCAGCAAAATTGTACTTAAGCTACTGAAACATACAAATTCCCAAAGACCTACATCCAAAGATGCTCATAATAATGAACCTAAATATTCACCTATAAGTGTTAGTAGCTCAGTCATATCTGACTCTGCAACCCCTGACAGGCTCCTCTGTCCATGGAATTCTCCAGGAAAGAATCCTGGAGTGGGTTTCCATTTCCTTCTCCAGGAGATCTTCCTGACCCAGGGATCGAACCCAGGTCTCCTGCATTGCAGGCAGATTTTTTTTACCACTGTGTCACGAGGGCTTCATTCGTCTATAAGGTAATTACCAAATAAATCATTTTACATCCTTGCCATGGACCATGATGTCATCACTGAAAAGAATAAGATGGATCTATACGGACTGTTGTGAAATAGGAACATGATACTTTGTTAAAGTGAAAAACAATATAACTAGTTTAACAGTATTTTAACTATGCCTGGGGAAAAGTCCAGAAAGATACAGGTGATACACCTTTACACAAGATACAGGTGAACAGAGGGATGGAAAGGAATCCAATCTCACTGTACATGCTCTTGCATCACCTGTATTTGTAACAATATGCCCATTTTATTTTTATAATATTAAAACAGCTTTATCTAAGAGAAGGGTTTACTGGGTTTAGCAACTCTAGGTTATTGGGAACCTTGGCAAAAGCTGTTTCCGCAGCACAGTGGGAAGGAAGCTGGTTGCAGTAGGTTGAGCAGTGAACAAGAAGTTGGTGAAGTGGATACAACAACTGCTCGCTGTGTTTTCAAGAAGTTTGCCTTTGAAATGGAGGCAAATACTTCTCCCAGGGGGAGAAGTAGCTGAAGGAGTCCTAGAACTCAGAAAGGGAGAGAAAGACATATGCAAGTTCAGGGAAAGAGGTGGTTCCAGGAAAGAGAGGCAGAGGGAACAGGAGGCAAGACCCTGAAGGTTATGAGAGGCAGTGGATCCCATGGGCAGGTGCAGGAATTCAAAAAAAAAAAAAGGAGAAGAAAGGATACTTCTCATCCTGCCCCTAAAAGGAAGGAAGAAAGTGTACACATAAGTTCAGCACATGTGTCAGCTGGGCGCTGGTGTTGCTTGCATCTCCCTTGTAAAGAAGAAGGCATATTTTGAAAATGAGACAAGGATGGACTAGGCAAACCACCACCTTCAGACTCCTCTAGAAACCATTAGCCAGAAAAGTGTGAAAAGTCCCAGTGCTATTACAGAATTGCCGGATAGAGCATTGACCTGCAGTCAGAGTCCCAGGACAGACCTCGTTGATCCTCTCTGGGGACACCTCCCCTGGTAGGCCTCCTCAACTTCCCCCTCAGCAGCCCTGGGTCAGAAGTTTCCACACAGAAGCTGCTTTCTCCTGTCTAACATCCCTGACAGCTACCAAGCCTTGGGTCACCATGGAGGCCTCGGTGGCTATTCCAATAACAGCAGCAGTAGCGACAACATCAGGTGGGTGAGCAGTTTGGCCTTCGGGCAGCTAGGGACATGTTCTCATAGAAAGAACTTGGAAACTTCAGTCTCTTCCTGTGAGTCCCCTGGGAACTGAAGTGATGAATTGCAGAAACAAAATATTTAAGTCTTCACTAAGGCAGCTCAGTACAAATGAACCTCCTATAGTAATAGAAATGCCCTACAGGACATCTGCACAATCCAATATAGTAGCAAAAAGCAGAGACATCACTTTGTCAACAGAGATCCGTCTAGTCAAGATTATGGTTTTTCCAGTGGTCATGTATGGATGTGAGAGTTGGACTATAAAGAAAGCTGAACGCCGGAGAATTGATGCTTTTGAACTGTGGTGTTGGAGAAGACTCTTGGGAGTCCCCTGGACTGCAAGGAGATCCAACCAGTCCATCCTAAAGGAGATCAGTCCTGGGTGTTCATTGGAAGGACTGATGTTGAAGCTGAAATTCCAATACTTTGGGCACCTGATGCAAAGAGCTGACTCATTTGAAAAGACCCTGATGCTGGGAAAGATTAAGGGCAGGAGGAAAAGGGATGACAGAGGATGAGATGGTTGGATGGCATCACCGACTCAATGGACGTGGGTTTGGGTGGACTCTGGGAGTTGTTGATAGACAAGGAGGCCTGGCGTGCTGCGGTTCATGGTGTTGCAAAGAGTCGGACACAACTGAGCGATTGAACTGAGTCACATGTGGCCACTGAACACTTGAAATGAAAAACTAAAGTTTTTATTTATTTTAATTAATTTAATTTTAAGTAGCCATATGTGACTAACCTCCTCGTTTTCCAGGGGACCACATGGAGGCCCAGAGAGAAATGACTTGTCCAAGCTCACCCTGATCATTAACAGCAGAACCAGGACTGGAAAACAGTTCTGAATTCACCCCACCATCTGTAGGCCTGCAGTGGGCTCAGTGGAAATGAAATCAGTCTAATGAAAATTGAGAAGTAGGCTGCTTGGGAATTCCCTGGCAGCTCAGTGGTTAGCACTCCAGGCTCTCATTGCTGAGGGCCTGGGTTCAATTCCTGGTCAGGAAACTAAAATTCCACAATCTCACAGTATGGCAAAAAGAAAAAAAAGAAAGTAGACTGGTTGGGAAATGTCAGACCTGGACTCTCCTTTCTACATCCAGTTGTCTGGAACAGAGAGGTGCTTACAGGAGCTCAGAAACCTAAGGCTGGGCTCCACTCCCTCATTGCGGTGGACAGAATGTCAGATTTGAGGTCAGGTTAAAAAAAAATGTCTTAAAAACTGCTTAAAACTCAGTTCATCTGCGTCACTCTAGGTAAGTTGCCTAACTTCACAGTCTCGGTTTCCTCATTCAGAAAATGCACATCTCACGCAGCTGTTGTGAAGATTAAATTATACAGATTCTGAAAAGCACTTTTCTTCGATGCTAGGCCCTCACAGGCACTCATCATTAGAGCTAAAGTGACAACTGTTATTTCGGATTAAAACAGATTAAGATCTACCTGGAAGTCAGCCCGGAAAGCAGACCCTCTGCCTTCTCTTGCTTGGCAATGTACTGGGAAAGACCCCATGCTTTTAGCTGATCAACTATTTCAGTAATAATAATACCAATAGTAAACGCTAGCCTTGTGCTTTATATGTGTCTTAAGTGTTTTACAGGTAATGAATGCCTCCTTTCAACCTCAGCTCAACCTGGTGAGTCAGAGTCTACCACTGAGCCTAAAATGAGTCTCATTTTACAGATGAGCAAACTGAAAATCTGAAAGGAAAAGTTGCTTGTGCAGAGCAGCTAGCCTAGCAGAGTTCTTCACTGCTGCACTCACGGCCTCTCTCCACAGGTCCTGGGTCTCTGTCTGGGTTTACCATCGCCTGACCAGGAGTCTCTGGGTTCTCCAGCATAGTAAATTAAAGGTGACAGAGAATGTTTGCTGAACGGTTGAAATACTCAAAGGTTCTTTCCTAGGGGTAGGCAGTTAAGATGAGTTTTCCACAGGCTCTGAGTACCCTGTGGGCCCTGGGATGCCTGGGGCAAGAGGCCAGGATAACAAGTACCAGAGGGCCTGGGGTATCAATCACTGTAAGGGTAAGGACTTGGGAGGGTGCGGTGAACTAACGTTCACAGCTCCACCTGAATTTATCCTTCCAATTGTTTTCAATAGCAAATGTGACAAAACATATGCTTGGTGTCATCTGTTTTCAAAAATGTGTTTGAACTTGGGTGGGATTTTAACCCTTACCAAATGTCTTTCTTTCCAAATGAGACGGTCTCGGTTCCAAAGTTAGTAGCTACTACTGACCCAATTCCAAGTGGACAAACCAAGAAAAACTAGCAATGCTCTAAGACAGGAGCATGGTCAGAGAGGATGATTGGGGAGTGAGGTGAAAGACAAGAAGAGGTGAATGGGGCACCCATGTGAGGGTGGAAGTTCTCAAAGGGGCGTGGCGTGGAGAAGGAATTTATGAGGATTTAAGAACACCGGGGGTGTGTGGGGTGGAGATGAGAGGTCAGGGAACAAAATCACCAGACGTGCCAAAGGCTAAAGCTCCATTCCTGGGGCCTTAAAGAGCTGTTCCCTTTGAGATGGGAAAAAGGTTGAAGAGCCATAGAACTGCTGGGTGGGAAGCACGGGAAGCTCGACACAGCTGGAATGCAGGGAGAAACAGGCGGAGCAGCTGAAAGAGTTCCGGGCTGCTGAGCTCAAGGCAAAGACAAGAAATCTGTGCCATGCCGGGCCAACTACTTCCTTTGGGTGGGCCTCAGTTTCCTCATCTGGGAAATGGAAAGATTGGCTAGGAAACCCCTTCCCAAAATGAACTCTGCCAGTTTATAAAATGACGACTAGTTGTCAAAGAGCTGACCTGGGAATTAATTATTCAAACTATCAGAAGCATCCCGCACCCTCAGGGGCTCCACCCCAGAATTGAGCAATATAATCCACCACTTACTTCCTCACTGTGTTCTCAGCACCGCCGCCCTTTCTTCAGTCAGACACATCTGCCTTTCCTGGAGGTGTCCCACAGGTGACAAGCCCAGAATCATGGTAAGTCTTGAAACACCCACCCCTCCCACCTTCCAGACACCTCTCTGTTCTCTGTCCCCCTTGACACCCAGGCTCCATTTGCCCTCTCCATCTATCCCCACACCTCTCAGTCTCTCCATTCTCTCTTTAGACCACACTGTCCTGAAAGGGAGAGCCTCTGCTCCTCTTCCATACCCCTCTCTCCAACAAGCACCTAGGGCAACTCACTGCCCACCCTCTTCTCTTCCCGCTCCCAGCCAGCTCTCCCTGCCTTGGCTAGAATTGAGTCTGAGCCAGGTCCTAGTGAGGCCCTCCTTCCCCATATTAAACCCAAATATGTGTGGATTCTATTTCTAGAGAGAAAGAATACTGGAATTGTGTTCAAACAACCTGGACTTTGTTGCATTATTATTGTGTTGCTGCTGTTTAAAAGATTGTGTTAAGTATTTGGGCTTTTCTAAGTATAAAACTTTTGTGAAATAAATTAGAATCATGCTTTCCATGGAGTCACTAGCGGGCTGGCAGTTTCACTCAGTGAGGGACTGTCCTGTTTGGTTACCAAGGACATAATTGGGTGGCTACCAGCAGGAAGCCAGTCAATTCAAGGACATTTGGTTTATTATTTCCTGTGAAGGTTTTTTTTTTCATCCTGGGTCTAAGGAATAGCAAAGAAAGCAATGCACGAAACATCAAACAATCGGAGGGAACTATAGCCAGGTTAAACTCAGGATATCTCAAGAAATCATTTTACAACTGGTTTTTTGCAAATTCATTTATTTATTTTCATTGTTGGCTGCACTGGGTTGTAGCGAGTGGGGGCTGTTCTCTAGTTGCAGGAGCTTTTCATTGCGGTGACTGCTCTTGGTGCAGAGCATGGGCTGTAGGCTTACGGGCTTCAGTAGTTGTGGCGCATAGGCTTAGTTGCTGTAGGGCATGTGGGGTCTTCCTGGACTAGGGATCGAACCTGTGTTCCCTGCATTGGCTGGTGGGTTCTTAACCACTGGACCCCCAGAGAAGTCCACAGCTGTATTTGATACGTTGAGTTGTGATTTTTTTTTTTTTTTTAAGAAGCAGATCTGTGGACTGAAAATAGCATGTGAAGTCATTCACACCTAGTTGCAATTCTGGCCGCAGCATTGAGAGGCTCTGTGACCAAAAGCTGGTTTCTGAGCCTTGTGTACCTGTCTGTTTGTAACAACCGAGCAAGACCATGTACCTGCAAGGCACAAATCAGATCTCAAATATGCTTCTCCCTCCAACTGTCAAACAGCCTCACCAGAGACCAGTAAACTAAAAAACAAACAAACAACAACAAAACATTTCCCTCCCCCAGCCTCCTGTGGCTGGAGGTCATTGCCCTGGCCTGGTTCCCATTTCTGAGTTCTCTACCTTCTGTCCTGACTTGCGTGGTCACCCCCTGGTCCCTGAGGCTGAGCTTTCGTGTCTAGGAATGGGAGCTCGCCCATACACCTCCAGCCCATCTCCTGCATAGTTGAACACTGGATTATCCGGAATGAGGACTTGACTGTGACACATGCTTGGCTGTTGATGCTGCTTCTGAGAGAGGCAGTTTCTGTGGCTGCCCCACCTCTGCCTTCTCTCAGCTGTTGCTTGTAAATGTTGGGTTCTCCCCTCTAAGGGCACATCTGCATCTCTGCATCCATCGCCACTCTCAAAGGTGGGTCTTCTCTTAGGTCATGNAGCCTGCCAGGCTCCTCTGTCCATGGGATTTCCCAGGCAAGAATACTGGAGTGGGTTGCCATTTCCTTCTCCAGGAGATCTTCCCAACCCAGGGACTGAACCCACATCTCCTGCATTGGCAGGCAGATCCTTTATCACTGAGCCACCAGGGAAGCCCAATACACCTTTTTTCTTTTTTATTGAAGTATAATTGATTTATAATACATGCCAATCTCTGCTGTTCAGCAAAGTGACTCTGTTACACACACATACACATTCTTTTCTATGCACCTTTGATTCATCAGTTATAATTGAGATATAATCCACACGTGATAAAAGTCACCCATTTACAGTACGCAATTCAGCAGGGTTTTGTATACAGACGGTCCCCAGCTTACAATGGTTCAACTAATAATTTTTCATCTTTGCAATACTGCAAAAGTGATACACCTTAGCTAGAAACTGTTCTTTGAATTTTGAATTTTGATCTTTTCCCAAGCATGCAATGTACAATAAGATACTCTCTCATGATGCTAGGCAGCTGCCATGCAGTCATGAGAATAAATTCATGAAGTCTTTTGTCTCTAGCTGTTTTCACTTAGAATAACGTTTTCAAGGTTCACCCATGTTGTAGCCTGTATCAGTTCTTCATTACTTTTTATGATTGATTAATATTCCTTGTATGTGTATACCACCATTTGCATATCCATTTATCAGTTGATCAACATTTGAATTATTTCCACTCTTTGGCCTCATGCTGCTGAGAAGATTCACATACAAGTTTTTGTGGGGATATACGCTTTCAATTCTCTTGAGTATACTAGGAGTGGAATTGCTGGATCATATGGTAACTGTGTGTTTAGCTTTCTTAACAGCTGTTTTCCAAAGCAACTGTACCATTTTATATTTCCACCAGCAGTATATAAAGGGTCCAACTTCTCCACATCCCATGACCATCATTATAGTCCTTACTTTATTATTATGATCATGCTAGTGAGTATAAGGTAGTGCCTGAGCCTTCTTATTTTATGTTTGTCTCTTTAACACTGGGTGCCATGTTGAGGTGGGTTATAGACTGGCATAGAGACACAGGATGGCCATATCTTGTTACAAAGAAATGACATGATAGTAATACAGTTTGTGGTTCAAAAGGAAGCTAATTCAGTAGCTGGTCACTTTAGTTTATTTCCTTTTGGAAAACTGGGATAATATTTCAGAGTGGCTGCAGCTTCCCCCAGCAGCAGGTTTTCTGCTACCCCCATAACAAGGGCAGAGCCCACAGAAGTTAGCTAGGAATAGTCTGCGGTGGGGTTGGGGGTTGCTGGAGAGTCAGGTTTGGACAAAGGCACCCTGAGCAACACAGGAAGGATCTCCATCAGGGCTGGAAAGCCACCCAAACAAGGATCATGTGTCTCCACCTGCCTTCTCTGCTTCCTGCTGGCCCTCCTCCTTATGCTGGGAACATACTACCTTCCGCTGCTCACCTTCTGCATGGCAGAATATGCCTGCTCAGAGCTCCAAAGACAATCCATTACATTTCCACCCATGTGGGAAAATCAGTCATCCACCTGCTTATGATTTTTAATATATTTTTTCAAACTACACAGTGTTCCCAGAGGAAGCCTCCCACATCAAAAGAAAAACTCTGGGTGGTACAATTTCCTTTTAGCTTGAGCATGCTGAAAGCCTATGCTGCTATCACTCAGATTGTTTTTCCAGAACACTTCATTTTATTTTCTTCCAAACTTTAAACTTTTTACGTTGTATTGGGGTAATAGCTGATTAACAATGTCTGATAGTTTCAGGTGAATAGAGAAGAAACTCAGCCATACATACATGTGTATACATTCTCCCCCAAACTCCCCTCCCATCCAGGCTGCCACATTGAGCAGAGTTCCATGTGTTATACAGTAGGTCCTTGTTGGTTATCCATTTTAAATATAGCAGTGTGTGTATATGACCTTCTGAAAGTCCCTAACTATCCCTTCCCCGCCACCCCAGCAACCATAAGTTCATTTTCTAAGTCTGTGAGTCTTTTTCTGTTTTGTAAGTAAGTTCATTTGTATCATTTATTATTGTTTCCACATATAAGGGATATCATATATTTTTCCTTCTCTGACTTGTTTCACTCAGTATGACACTCTCTAGGTCCATTCATGTTCTTGAAAATGGCATTATTTCATTCTTTTTAATGGCTTTAGGTAATATTCCATTGTATATATGTACCACAACTTCTTTATCCATTCCTCTGTGGGTGGACATTTAGGTTGCTTCCATGTCTTAGCAATTATAAACTGTCCCACAATGAACGCTGGGGTGCGTGTATCCTTTCAGATCATGTTTTTCTCCAGATACATGCCCAGGAGTGGGATTTCAGGGTCATATGGTAGCTCCATTTTTAGCTTTTTAGGGCTGGTGCACTTGGAAGACCCAGAGGGATGGGTTGGAGAGGGAGGTGAGAGAGGGGATTGGGATGGGGAATACATGGAAATCCATGGCTGATTCATGTCAAAGTATGGCAAAAACCACTACAATATTGTAAAGTAATTAGCCTCCAACTAATAAAAATAAATGGAAAATAAAATAAAATAAAATCAGCTTCAACAGTCAAATGCTCACCACAAAGGATCCAAGACAGCATGTTCTGAAGGGATTACAGGGGGAAGTTTCAACATTGGTTTGGGCAATGTCATGGAAAGTGATGAGAACCTCTCTGACACTGAAAGAAACTACATGCTTTTTGTGAAATCATTCTTTCTAAATGTGTCTCCAAAACCTTAGAACTTTAGTGACTCCTCTAAGTGAAAGTTACTTCCGTGTAATATACAAGCTAACACAAAGAATTCCATCTGAAATGTACAAGCTGTTGGGCTTGAATCTGGGGAGATTTTACTGTGCAGTAACCCTGATCTCTCTTCTTTAGGCTGAAACAAAATATACTTCAAATATGGAAGGATTTAACTGGGATAATTACAGCGATGAAGATTTTGGCAATTACAGTTACAATACTGACCTGCCTTCTATTCTACCAGACTCTGCCCCATGTCGACCAGAATCTCTGGATATCAATAAGCATGCTGTGGTCGTCATCTATGCCCTGGTCTTCCTGCTAAGCCTCCTGGGAAACTCCCTGGTGATGCTGGTCATCTTATACAGCCGGGTCGGTCGCTCTGTCACTGATGTCTACCTGCTGAACCTGGCCATGGCTGACCTGCTCTTCGCCATGACCTTGCCTATCTGGGCCGCCTCCAAGGCAAAGGGCTGGATCTTTGGCACACCCCTGTGCAAGGTGGTCTCACTCCTGAAGGAAGTCAACTTCTACAGTGGTATTCTACTGCTGGCCTGCATCAGCATGGACCGCTACCTGGCCATTGTCCATGCCACACGCACACTGACCCAGAAGCGCCACTGGGTCAAGTTCATATGTATAGGCATCTGGGCCCTGTCTGTGATCCTGGCTCTGCCCATCTTCATCTTCCGCAGGACCATCCACCCACCCTATTCCAGTGCAGTCTGCTACGAGGACCTGGGTGCCAATACAACGAAATGGCGAATGTGGATGAGGGTCCTGCCCCAGACCTTTGGCTTCCTCCTGCCCCTGCTGGTCATGCTGTTCTGCTACGGACTCACCCTGCGCACGCTCTTTTCAGCCCAAATGGGGCAGAAGCACCGGGCCATGCGGGTCATCTTTGCAGTTGTGCTCGTCTTCCTGCTCTGCTGGCTGCCCTACAACCTGGTCCTGGTCATGGACACCCTCATGAGGCTCCATGTGATCCCTGAGACCTGTCAGCGCCGCAATGACATTGGCCGGGCCCTGGATGCCACCGAGATCCTGGGCTTCCTGCACAGCTGCCTCAACCCTCTCATCTATGTCTTCATTGGCCAGAAGTTTCGCCACGGACTCCTCAAGATCATGGCCATCCATGGCCTGATCAGCAAGGAGTTCTTGGCCAAGGACGGCAGGCCTTCCTTTGTTGGCTCTTCTTCAGGGAACACGTCTACTACCCTCTGAGACCCCTCAGCGGGCTCCTCGCTTCCCCTCAGCATCATCCCAAGCCCCATGTCCTCTGGCCAGGCACAGTCCCGTGTCAAGGCAGCTCCCCACTGTGGCTGTAGGAAGTTGCTGAGGCCACGTCCCTCTTAGGCCCCCATCACATGGATTAGACAGCCTGTCCTGGCCCCACCTCTTGCTGTAATTGCCATGTCAACTGATAGAGCTTGGTGCATCCTACCACTGAGCCCACAGTGCTCTATCTTCTGGCAGACATCCTTTGAAGATATTCTTTTCAGTGATTACAAAAAGTTCCCATTAATGAGAACCATTAATGTAAAACACCATTGGTTACTTGCCTAGCTCTCCCTTTCCTTGTTGGCCAGCAAAGTTCCCTTCCCTTGAGAGAGGCTGCAAATGACAGACACTCTCTTTCCAAGATTCTCTTAAGAGAGGAGTGGCCATATCATCTTGTTCTGATTTGTAAAACTTAAAAGCAATAGTGTGCTGGTAAACCACTCTCCTGGGGGGAAAAATCTTGATTTGTAGCATTTGCCATGTGCCATGGTGTATATAAATGCTCCCACCATAACCAATTTCAAGGGTGATGGTATTTAGCAATGAGCTCACAAAATCTAGAAAATGTAATAATCAACTTTCACCATCTGGTACAAACTGGTTTCAGTGCATCATTATCTAAGAGGAAGTCTGCTGGGACCAGGAGATACCTGGAAAGTGTTCCTGATTTGAGAAAGAGAGAGAGTGACATATCCTTGGTTCTTGACTTTGAATATGGTTGTAGGATATGTTCTGTTGACGCAGCCACTTTGTAACAATGAGGCAAAAATTATACCCAACACACTAGGCTGATGGAGTCAAACAATAAAAAGAACCTGATAATAAAGAGCCCAAAGTAAACCCATCATAAATAGTCAAATGATTTTTAATAAGGATGCCAAGACTATTCAATGGGAAAAGGATAGTCCTTCAACAAACTGTGTTGAGAAAATTAGATATCCACATGCACGGAATGGAAATGGACCTTTACCTTACATCATGCACAAAAATTAACTCAAAATGGATTGAAGACCTCAAATGAGAGCCACAACTATAAAACTCTTAGAAGAAACCATAGAGGGAAAGCTTCATGTCATTGAATTTGGCAATGATTTCTTGGATATGATGCCAAAAGCACAATTAACCAAAGAAAAAATAGTTTAATTGGACTGCATCGAAGTTTAAAACTTTTGTATGTCAAAGCCATACACAAATATTATGTTTCCCGTTATGTGAAGTACCTAAAATAGTGACTTTCATAGATACCAGAGGCTAGGGAAAAGGGAAATGTGGGGAATTATTCTTTAATGGGTCCAGGATTCAGTTTGGGATGATGTAAAGGTTCTGGAGATGGACAATGGTGATAATTGAAAAACAACATGAATGTACTTAATGCCACTAAGCTGTACATTTTAAAAAGGGTAAAATGGTAAATTTTATGTTAGTGTATTTTGCCACAATCAAAAACAAACAAACAAAAAGCTAGTTCTACAAAGCAAACTTGAGCCACTGGAACCACCTACCTATAACTTCTCAAGTGAGATAATTAAATGTATATTTTGTGTAAATTACTTTTAGTTGGGTATTTCATTACTTGCAACAAAAAGCATCCCAAGTGCTACAGAGTGGTCGGGCAAGGGTAAGCAGAAGTCCTCAATGAGGGTCTTTATAATAAATAAATCCTTTTGCTGTTTATGGGGTACATAGAGAGAAGGTCTAAAATCAAGATGGAGGCTGGTACTTCCTCCTTCTTCTTACCCAGCCCAAGCCTCCTGCTGCTGAACACATATTACAGAAGGAAACATATCCTGGGATCTTCTTGTGTGTCTTGTTTCCTTGGGTGAAACAGTAGTCAAGAGTGTCAAGGGTGGGACTTAGAACTGCCTAGAAAGTCTACCAAATCAGCTGGATTGGGTAGCCGAAAGTCAGAGGGCTCTCCTGAGGTCAGCCATCGACTCCCACTTTGAGTCCCCCTTCACCCTCTCCTCTCTCCCACCCAAAACACACAAGTACACACCCATCATTCAGGTTTGACAAAACACCACACTCATGCAGAATGGGAAAATGACTGTGTCACCCAGACAAAACAAACAATTGAACTCATTTCTTCAACGGTATTAAGAGCCTACTGTTCCAGAGCTTTGGGTAAAGCAACAATCAAAACAGACTGAGCCTCACACTGCCAAAGCCCCTATTCACACGGCTTGACTCGGAAAGGTCTTGGGTGGGAGGGGCTCTGGCTCCAAGCAGCCTGCTAAACCAGTAAGGAAGCAAGGGGAACTAAACCACACTTTTACCAGGTTCCGATCCCTTTCACGTTAACAACTCTCTGACCATTAAACGGAGGAGAGAGTGGCCTTGGTTATGGCACAAGGCCTCTCCAGCAAGGCAGAAACAAACCTCTGAGCTGAAGTGCTCAAGGGACAGGTAACCACCACTCCTAACTCAGGAACGTGCTTTTCCTTTCACAGTCAGCAAGCAGGATTAATTCACCAACAATAACCCCTCCGTTCCAAGCTCACTCTGCCAGGTACTGGGCTGAACTCAGGATCAAGCACAACTTAGCTGTTCTGGCTGAGCCTTCAGAATAGCTTCTGATTCAGCAAGAGGGAAAGGCAAGGGAATGTGTTTTTACCAAAGCCCCGAGTTACTGGAGGAACCAGTGGTGTCCTAACCAGTGGTGTCCTAGACAAGGCGGACTAAGTGGGCAGCTCCTTGCGATGACTGTTGGTGGGAGGAGGCCACCCTGGTTCCAGGAACTCTGCTCTTTCCTCCTGGAACCAGGGCTGGAAGAAACATGGTTCTCCAAGGAAAACAAGAGGATAAAATAAGCCCAGAAGCAATGAGGTGGAAACTGAGTTGGACTTACGTGAACTGTTAATACTTAGCCCTGACTTTTACTCACACTCTCACACACAAGTAAAGACTCTCTTGGCGTAAATAATCAACCCGCCAAGCCATCACTAGCACAGGGCAAATCCAAGGCCAGATGATTTCTTTCTTCCATCTGATGTTTCCAGGTTTGAGTCAGGGCCCAGTAGCTTTCTGCCTAGATCTGCCCGCTCAGTCTAAGCTGGCCCTCTTGCTTCCAGAGATATATGTTCCTCTACTTACACTAACACCATCTGTCTTTTTCCTCTGTCCCCAATGTTTATGATGTCTTCCTCCACCACCATCCTGCCCCAGATTCTGCAAGATGGGATCCCCTCGTTCATGACATCAGGACAGACACCAGCCTCTCTTGGGTGAAACAAAGAAGCACCTCCAGTTTGCAAATCACGTTGAAACATATCAAGTGTAGGCCCACATGGAAAACCACACCATCACACAATACCAAAGACAGGGGAGACCTAGAGACGCCCCTCCCTATGGAGAGGCTGAATCTTTCAATACATAAACAAGGAACCTGAAGCCCAAGCAAAGCATATTGACCGAAATCTCATGGCTGAATAGTAATGGAATTGGAATAAAAACATTCCTAGTTCACTTCATTTTTTCAGATATTTCACTTTTCTAACGGTGAATTTTAAAACATCTTACAAAGGAACAGGAAATAAATACACTGAACTTCTGAGAGCATTCGAGTCACGCCACAGGGCCAGTCTACATCTTCAGTGCCTGGACTCATTCCTGTTGGCACTGGGCTTTGGAATCTCCACCCTGTGATAGAGGTAAGGGCCACCTGAGGCTTGGGGCACAGGTGTGAAAGCAGATTCAGCTGGGGTTACCCTATTCTGTGCTGGCAAGCAGGACAGTTAAGAGGTAATCATAGACAAATACGAAGTTCAAAGACAGGCCAAACTAAACCTTCTATTGAGACACATGCTCTGTCACACAAGATTCACTTAGAACAGCAGAACTCAATTTCTGAAAAGGAGAAGGGATTTGTTACAGGGATCTGACTGTAGCACTTGGGAGCTGGTTCAGTAGTCTAGAGTAGCTGTTGACTTTGCTTCTGGTGCTGGGACGTGAAAGTGACAGGACAGGCAGGTGAGAAGGAAAGATGCATGTTAAGGGGCGAGGAGCAAGGACAGACTGAAAGATGAGTGGCAAGCTCTGGCTGTGGATGGCCCGCCTGCTGGATGTCTGTTGGTGTCTGCATCACAAAGGTCGCCTCCCAGGTGACTCAGTGGTAAAGAACTCCTGCCAATGCAGGAGACACAGGTTGGATCCCTAGTCCAGGAAGATCCCCTGGAGAAGGAAATGGCAACCCACTCCAGTATTCTTGCCTGAAGAAACCCATAGACAGAGGAATCTGGCAGGCTACAGTCATGGGGTCAGAAAGAGTCAGACACAACTTAGTGACAGAATAACAACAGCGTGACAAAGGTCAGCATACTCCACTCAGGAGCACTCAGAGCTGCAGACCCACTGCCAACCACGAAAGCAAGAGCAGCCAGAAGATAAGTGCCAGTGATGTCACAGCAGCGCTGACTTTCCAGCACATGAAATACGCAGCTTCTGGCCAACACTAACTTGTAATGATTCAAGGAAGGAAATTGTAGTTCCAGCTGAACTAAAAGGAAAGTGAAAAGTGAAAGTCACTCAATCATGTTGGACTCTTTGTGACCCCCATGGACTGCAGCCCACTAGGCTCCTCTGCCCATGGAATTCTCCAGGTGAGAATACTAGTGTTCCCTTCTCCAGGGGATCTTCCCAGCCTCAGAGATCAAACCCAGGTCTCCCACATTGCAGGTGGATTCCATTCAAATCTTTTGCATGAATATAGGTTACCTATGAATAGAACTCTAGAGAAAAAGGAATAGTTACCACAAAGGGTTGGATTATGCTTTTTCAAGTTTCAGTCCATCAGAGAGGAGCACACTGGGGTATTTGTGGGTCCTGATCAAATTTTCTTTACCTAGATCTTGGGCACCTAGGGTTCATTATACTCTCATCCTTTAAACTATAAACATAAGTTTTCTGCAAACTGTTCACAATAAAAATACTTTCAATCATTAAAATAAAAGAAAAAACTATGAAGAAAGTTATCAAAACCACAAGCGGACACCTCCAGTCATTTCAAGAAGCCCCTACAGGGTGTTGGGCGGAGGTGTCTATTGCTCTGGGGTCCAGATTCAGCAGAGTAGAAGACAGTATCATCATCCTCTACTTCTAGGAGAGTAAAGAGGTGAAACCTTTAGAGAAGGTAATTTGATCAAACCTACTTCAGTGTACATACCCTGTGATCCAGGAATGACACTTCCAGAAATGCACCCTATAGAAATACCCACATAAGTGGACAAAAGTATGC